TTTTCTATGTATTAAGATGTTAAATGGCTTTCCGACTTCAATGTAAATTCTCTGAGAGAAAGACTCAAAGTGTTAGATGAACTTTGGATGCTCTGTATTTAATCTCTTTAAATGTGATGACGCCCTTAACTTGAACCCGGTGTGAAAATGTCACGCGGGGCTCTTTATTTATAATATCACTTCAGAGTGCGAACTACTGAGTGTGCAAAGAGATTTATTTCATTTCTTTTGTTTGAAACTTTTACAAGTTCCTGATTACCTGGTATAGCTTCTTCATTCGCTTTTATTAACGGGACAAGAATAATACCTAACTCGATCGTCTTCAAACATCATTTAGCATCATAATTAATAGGCTACGTCGTGTTTCCAGAATGATCAGTAGACAGCTAATAACAGCTGAAGAGATTAAAAGACAGATTAACAGAAACAGCCTACAGTGGAACTAATATACATAAAATACTTGAAACCCCTAAAACTTTAACAATAGGAAAACATATTTCATTAGCCTATATTAATGGCAATTAAACAGAAATGTCACATTTTCATAATATATATATTTTCATGTTAATTTTTAAATGCACATCAACGGCACGCCAAAATATTAAAAAAAATTTAAAGGGGAAATTTTATAATTTGCAGTGGTTCGTTGAACTTTTAACCACTTTTCATTTAATTAATGGTGGAAAAAAACAAGTTGAAACTTAAAATCGAGTGTACATTTTCTGTTGGTATTATTAAAGTTATTATAAAGTCTTGATTGAAAAAAAAAGCAAGTGTGCTTATTTCGCTTCTAATTTGTGACAAAAAAACAGTCGTTAAACTTTTAAATATCAGATACATGTAAACAAACTTTCTCAATCTTTCTCACCAACAACCTGTAAAGTAAAGGGGTTCTCACAGGTTAACATTTGGCAAAATTAAATTAGAATGAAATGAAGGTTATAATACACACCCCTCTTGCTAATCTCCTAAAGATTGCCCTCCCCAATATTCCCCCACCGCATCTCTCTTCCATTCACTGGCCCTCCTGATACATACTTAAGAGACCCCGCCGAGAGGATCTTTTCCCTATAAAGAGAAGATGCGATCCGACCGCCTTTGAAATGATCCCCAGGACTTATTGCGACAGGCTCTTCAGTCGCACTTCAAAAGGAAGAGTCCTGGTTTGAAAGCCGCTTCTTTAGAAAAAGGGACCCAGAAAACCAGGAGCAAGAGCGCGAAGTGGCCAAAGACTCGTACAACCGATAAAGGACAGGAGTAGGAAGAGAGAATCTAAGGATTGTTGATGATCACTATATCTAAACTCATGCACCGGTAACCTGGTTGTGTAACGGGGTCAATCCGAGCAGGATCTTTGCGCGCCTCCTCGCCCGCACGCTTTGACTTTGGCACGATTACGCACTGCGCGCCGCGCTTTACGCAAGTGTGGATATCTTGAAGCTGCCGTGCACACATGGCTGCGTTAACCTTATCCAGAGCGGACAATTTCCTGCACAATTTCTTACAGGTACTGCACTTTTGTTTTTAAAATATATTTTTTAAATCATGCATCTTCCAATTTCATAGTGATACTTTGGCTCAATTAAATCAACAACTTAGATTCTATCTATCTATCTATCTATCTATCTATCTATCTATCTATCTATCTATCTACCATTCATTTAAAATGTCACAATTTTAAGAACTATACTGAGTTTCAGAGCAGCTATTAAATTAAAAAGTGCAATTCAAGTTGTCTCTTTGGTAAGACTTTGTATTGTATTCAATATATTCACTGTAAAAAAAAAAATTTAATTACTATACTGGAAATATTTATTAATGTATCGATTTAAAAATGGATTACAAAATAATAATAAAAGCTAAAAAATAAGGTTGTAATCAAACTTATTTTACAAATTAATTTTTTATAGCAAATACAATTCTATCTAATTCTAAATCAATTTTGTACATATGAATATGACAGTATGAAGTTACATTTAGTCACAATTATTTGTTTTTTCCTCTCTAGGATCGTACTCCCAGCTCCTCTCCAGAAAGTGGTCCTAGCACCCTTTCCTTTTTGGCCACCACATGCAGTCAGGCTTGGCAGGAGGGGTCTCAGCTCCCTTACGAGGGGCCGGTGGCCTCTGCTTCCAGCATGTTTCAGCTCTGGAGCAACGATGTGGCCCCAAACTCCAGCTTGAGCGCTCACCAGATGACCTTCACCGTGCCCAAAATGCAGTTCCCTGGCCACATGCAGCCCACCCTGGGCTCGCACTCCCATCATCACCATCATCCCCACCATCACCACCACGAGCTCCCCCTCACCCCTCCAGCCGAGCCTCCGTCCGCCTACTCGTTCGATCTGTCTCCAGTAAAAATGCTCCCCTCTCAGGCGCAGGGGAACGCACCATACTACACACAGCACAATGCTGTGGGTCAGAACTTTCCTAGCTTCCTTCAAAACGCTTCAGGAAGACCTCACCTGCCAGGTGGTCATGTTGAGGATGCCCAGCAGTGGTGGAGTCTCCCTCAGAGTAACAGCGCATCCTCCGGGCATCCATTCTCTCTGGGACGCCAGCTGGTTTTGGGCCACCAGCCTCAAATTGCTGCTCTTCTGCAAGGAACCTCAAAAGGTCTGTTGAGCTCAACTCGTCGCTGTCGCAGGTGCAAATGCCCCAACTGTCAGTCCGCGGGAAACGGAGGTGCTGCTCTGGAGTTCGGGAAGAAAAGACTACACATTTGTCATATTCCAGATTGCGGCAAGGTCTACAAAAAAACCTCTCACCTGAAAGCACATCTGCGCTGGCATGCCGGTGAGCGGCCCTTCATCTGCAACTGGCTCTTCTGTGGAAAGAGCTTCACGCGTTCAGATGAGCTACAGAGGCATCTTCGCACACACACCGGCGAGAAGCGTTTCGGCTGTCAGCAGTGTGGGAAAAGGTTTATGCGGAGCGATCACCTCTCCAAGCATGTGAAGACCCACCAGAGCAGGAAGAGCCGGTCCAGTCAGCCTTCTCACAATGGGACTGATGAACTGCTAAGCAACATTAAGAGAGAGTAAAGGATGCTGAATGCAAAAGAACTCAATATCATATCAGGAATGAAACCAGAGACCCTTTGAGGCCATTTGCGTCATCTAAAAAAAATTATATAAAAGGTGAAATGGTTAAACAGATAATCCAAAAAGCAATGGGAGCATGGGCTTGTTTCATTTGAGAACACTGGAGCGAACGCACACCATGCTGCACCGAAATTTATCTTTGAGACTTTAAAGAGACTTTAGGTCACAGCGGAAGTGATAGAGCTGATATAAGTGACATTTTTTATGGCTCTGGATGCAAAGACTTCTTATGACCAAACTTTGCCCTTGCACATTTATTTAAAGAATATTCCATTTAAATCAAAAGAAAATTCTCTGAACAGCACAATCAAAAGTGTTTGTTACTTGGTGAAAATGTAATTTGTTTACTTTTTTTCTAGTTTTTTAGGGGAAATTGATGCCTTGTATTGAAATCATGAGTTCAGGTTGCAAAGTTTGCCAACATTATTCTCTGACAGATCACTTTAGGTCTTGTTTTCTGGCAGAGAATGGCACTGCTATAATTCTATTTCACTCTAAATCTAAATCCCAATAGTTTCAAGACATGAACCAAATGTATATAATGTTTAAATAGTGCACAGTTCTATAGACCAGCATGTGAAATACTAATAAACATGAATAACTGTGCAAATCAAAATCTTGTGCTTCGTTTTGTTCATTCCTTCTCAGCGTTTAATACCTTGTCAAGCACACTTAGTGCATTTTAACAGATGTGTGAAGTTCAGCAAATGGCTAATGTTAAATCTAACACAGTGTGTCGGACCTCAGCGTTTTGCATTTATTCTAATGGTAATGTAATAGCATTCAGGATTAAGGTGGCCATTGTTTCCAAGGTGTCACGGAAGCACTTAAAAACAAAGACAAATGACTGGAGAGTCTTCAGACATTTTACAGTTGTCACTAAATAGTCAGGCCATTCATGGGAACAGTGGTCTGACCTCCTCCCATCAAGTTCACAGTCATGTTGTCTCGTAATGGCCGGTGTAAATAACAGACAACAGTTACTGAGGATAGTGCTCTACTGGAGCTCACTGTGAATGGACCCCCAGCTGTTTATATCCCACTGGCCGTGACAGAAGTCTCTTTGATTTGGCACCTTTGTGATAGTGAATGCTCAAAAACCCTCTTCCCCCATCTGTGTGCATGTGTAAATGAACCCTTTACTGCTCAAGAATGCCTAGAATGTGACTTAGACAAATTAATTGTCTGCATGTTAACTAGGTTCCCTATAGCCAGATCACAGAAAGCTGACTGATTTGGAGGATATATTTTTGTTGTCTTTTGTTTTTAAACATTTCTTTATACTTTATCTTTTTAATAAAAAAGCTGAGCTGCACCAAAACATTAATGACTGTTAAGGTTTTCATCCATGCAGGTCAACATAAAGTGTCTGATGGAGTTTAATCATAAACAATTCAACAAGCAAGTCCAGTTCTGACCAATTGCTTTTGATTACATGCCACCAGAACCTGCTTACCGGGGCAAGTTGTCACAATAACTAAAACGTTTTCAGTCAAAAAGTGCTAATAGACAGATATTTGTTTTCTAGAGCAGCGATTTTGTATGTTTGTTTCAAACTGTATTTTTGTAATATTTCTTGGATTAACTAATTACCACAATGAAACCACACTGGGATAAAAAAAGGTCAATTATATAATGAAGATTATAAATTTAGATTTATTTTGATTGAAAGGTTTAACTGTGTTTTCAGGGCAAGAATAGTTTTCATAATATCAGGGCAAGTTGTCAGATGTTTTACATGTTATGATTTTATACAATTTATCATTACAATTTAATTGATAGTTGTTTTACTGCACAATTCTTTTTTTTTTTTACTGGACAGATAAAAAGCTGTCTAATGGCAGGTTTCGTTGTGGTTTCATCAGCTATCTTGGGTCTTTTTGTAGGTTTGTTTCTATACAGAAACTGACTTTCCGAAATAATCCTATACTCTGAAAAATATGTAAGCATGACAACTAGCCCCAGTCTCCCCTGTACCACGAATACACATCCTCAATGACACCACACAGAAAACTTCCATGAATACAGTAGAAAATGAAACATTGTGTGTTCCAAAACACTCTTGTGTTCCAAAAGGAACCAGTTTAATTTGATATAATACAATTACAGGGGTTGTCACATGTGACATAATTCATGTCCAATTCTTTCTCTACATCATTTCCTTCATCATTTAGAGGTGTTCTTCAAAATAGCATGCAACAATGTAAGATTCAAATCCACGTTTGTGGAAAGGCAGTACAGGAAAGCTTTCAGTTTATACAGGGCTATGTCAAATTATTCGATTTCTGCATATTTGAATATTACATCAAGGCAAGAGAAGATTGTTACAATCATTTTAAGGATATTTATGCGAATGCATCTGAAACATGCTGACAGTAAAGCATATGAGCTTTGGTACAGAGTTTTGCATTTGAAGTTTTAAACTGATCTGTGGAAAAGACCGATTGGTTGTGTACACAGCGCTGAAGTGGCACCCTCTGTTGGAAAGAATGTGCAATGAGCTAAACGGAGTGAAAGTGCTTTTTCATGCTTTAACATTAAATACCAAACACATACCATCCCTTCTTTGGTGAGACATCTAACATTTTATGACAAACTGTATGTTTCACACTCGATTAACAATGTCAGTCCTCTTTATAACTAATGATTTGGTTTGCCATTAATAAATACTTTGCTTTAAAAAGGACAATAAAACAACTAAACAAAACACAATAACCAAAAATGTCTTGAAAATTTTGGAAAATAAAATCTGACATCTTTAGTCTTTTCCCTCATTTTCATGAGAACATTTCCCCCAAACTTAAACAAGTGTTTTAGCTTGTTTTCAAGTGGTCTATAAATGAACTGAATTACATTTTAGGCTTAATATTTAATTCATTTGTGTAAAGGGTACTGGCACCTGCTTTTGGCACATAATGATATAACATTTTACCTTTGGCCTTCATTAACTTTAAATAATAATTATTATTAGTAGTAGTAGTAGTATTATTATCATCATCATCTAATAATCCAGAAACCTTAATTTGCATGACAAGACCTGCAGAGTAATCCAGGCGGTGTGCATTACACGAGAAGGGGTGGCAAAAGCTAAAAAAGAGTCATTTAACCACAGATAACTACTTTTATACTGCATGTTCTTCTGCCGTAACAACTGTGGTCCATCTTTCAGTCCTTCCCTTGAGCAAGTCCTCCTGCTCAACAAGGCAGATGCTCATTGTGTGTGATCTCTTATGTCCACCTGTAGTTGTAAAGTCTGAACACGAAGCTCCGCAAGCAGCATCACTCATTGTCCATGACAACAGAGTTGACTGATCTTCGAGAATTCAAACACCCAGTTGGTGAAGAGAAAGTCAAGCGTCCGTGTCTTCATGCACAGATCATTCTTCTATACGGTACATATAAATTAGCTGCATTTAGAGTCTGTTTCCCCTTAGCTCCGTCATAAGAGTTTACGCAGCCCACAAGAGCATTCAATATAGACGGGAGATAGAAAGACAGCTTTTGTAAAGAGGCACCAATAGTGCGAAAACTTTAAAATCCAGCACGAGCCCACTAAGGACCCTCATATGTTTATAATAATACAGTATGTTCTCTGCAAAATGCATCTGATGGAAAACGTTCAGCATGTTTGCAAGGATGAAGCCATCAGAATTTAGCACACAAATACACATTCATACATACATGCACGCACACACACATGTATCCAATCGTATCCTCACACCCTCAAATAAAGGTTTACTCTGGTTCCTGCTCCAGTGACCTCCCAATATAGGAATGGTTAATTCTCCTTTGAATAAAACACAACTTTAAAAGACAACAACAACAAAAAAAAGAGAAATTATATAAAACAATTTAAAAAGTCACTAGGTAATTTGCGAAGAATTGAAGAATACCACAACAGACGTGAATAAAGTCCAGACTGTGGCATGCTCTGGTGCAAACATCAGATTCAGGGTCATTCCCATTCACAGGTCATCCTCATCAAGCTGGGCCAAGTTACTGGAGCGCTGAAGAGTGGAGAAGGGACTAGGAACAGCCATGCATCCCTCTCTGGGTCTGGTTCCCTCTCCTGAGCTCTAGGACACAATAGAGAAAATAAACACCATTTTTGTCACTGATGGTCTATTTTTCTAAATAGCATATTATTAACATCATGATTCTATGGAAGCCTGTTTTTTTGTGTCTATTGTGAAAAAAAGTGTTTAAAATAAGAAATAAAATCAGATTGTAAGATATAAAGTCACAAGTGTGAAAGTCAAATGACAAGATATAAACAAGCAATTACAAGAAATAAAGTTGCAAAGATAAAAAGTAAAATTGAAAGATATAGTCACATTAAAAGGTGTAAAGTTGCAGATGTGAGTTAAATCACAATTATGAGAAACAGAGTGGTAAGATATAAAGTTACGCTGCAGGATAATAAGTCGCCCTGTGGAATATAAAGTCAAAATTGGGAGATATAAAGTTGCAACTGCAAAATAAAAAGTCACATTGTGAGATATAAAGACTTACTATAAAAAATTACTAGAAATAAAGTTGTGAAGATAAAAGATAAAACTGCAAGTACAAATATGCGAAATATTGTCACATTGCAAAATATAAAGGTCACAGCTGGGAGATATGAAGTCGCATGTGTACAATATATAGTCACAATTATAAGAAACAGTCACGATTGTGAGAAAGTTGCAATTGCAAGATACAAGATCATAATGTGAAACATAAAGCCACAATTATGAGAAAGAAAAATCACAATTGTGAGCTATAAAATCACATTATAAGACACAAAGTCGCAATTATAAAAAAAATGCAACTGGTATGTTGCAAAGTTGCATATGAGATGTCTCAGTTACCTTTTTTTTTTTTTCTACTCTCACAGGCTTCAATAGGATTACAATTTTTCCCCAGACACTTCTTGTGAAATCTTCATTCATGAACGTATAAAGGTTTGTGATGCGAGACAGCAAAGAAATTCTCGTCTATTCCCCAAGCAGAGAATAATGAGCTGTCACAAGCCTAGCTCAAGTCTAAAAATGGTGAAGAGTCTTAATTACCGGGAGCAGCCCAGGATATTAAGAGTAATAGGTTTGTTACACGGTTAATGACATGACTAAAAAAGGCATGACTGAAAATTGTCACAACAGAGTTTCAGAATGGACGACATATTGTTTAACACTCCTGTCAGCTCAAGAATCTTTATTAGATACAAGAGAGACAGATGTGCTGTTGTCTTATGCCTTCCGTTTTGGTTCTTTATAGAAACTCTGAAAGCTTTTCATACTTATTATAAACCCCAAAGATCTTAGTTATGCTCGGTGTCCCTTGGTATCAACTGTCCTTGACTCATTTCTCACCTTAAATATCAGAATAGAAATAACAATCAAAATGCTAATATAAGAAACCCTTGTTTTTTCCTTGATATAATTAATACAGCCTAAATAAATTTAATCATTGTTGTCATTTAAATTAGATGGTAGATCATTTCAGATTTAGATATGGGAGATAAACTGTTATAAAATGTACTTAGCAATGAAAAGTAGCTGGTTTTAAACTCATGGGAAATGAAGTCAAAACAGCACTTGGATCCAACACCAGTCTGATCCAATAGCCTGCAAGAACAATCAGGCTTTTGATAGGGATCTGTTAATTCCTTTTGTCAACCTGTCTCCTTCCTGTTTGTGAAGTGCTGTTGCTCACAGGCCTGAGTAAAGTAGATAAACAGCTATTTCACACACAACTATTGTTGAGCTGTCATCAAAGCTCATTCGGGACTAGATGCTGTTGTAGACGGAGAGGGATTTTTTAATAGGCTGCTGTATCAGAATAGGAAAAACCTCAATAAAGCATATGAATAAAGAGGTTATGAGGTAAAAAAATGAATAAGAAATATTCAAGATTGTGCACTATTTCTAATGAAATGAGTTAATTATTTACTCCAATTGTTTTGTTGGACATAGAATTTGTATGGAAACCAGTTGTATTAAATCACATAAATCCAGAGCTTTAGACATTGTACCTGTCCTGCAAATAAGCCCGTTTTTTTGTTTGTTTGTTATTGAATGTCTACCATGCACCATCAGGGGGAGCAGTGTGGCTTCTTTTTTTATAATTGCATGATTAACGATCACCAAGCTCGTTCTAAGCACACCAAATTCAAGTGAGCATATTGTGCACAGTACCTGTGAGGCTTGTGTGCTAGAGGAACAAAGCCCGTTGGAAACTGCCTGGCAGTTTAGAGGTGCCTGGGAGAATGACGGTTCTTCAGAGAAGGCCAGCTGCACATGAGTTGGAGACACCGTCTGGGAATTCAGTCTGGAGTCCACTGGACAGCGCTGTGTTGACTGTAAACATCAGACAGAAACAGCAGTTACAAAATTACAAGAAATAACAAGGTTATTTATATCCATTTACAACATAAGAGTGTGACCTCTCAGATGATGACACTGGGATGATTAAAGAAAAGGATTCAGAAATAAGGTGAGGTTAAAAAAAATAAAATAATAATAATAATATACTATCTCAGATAGAAGATGGCATTCTTGCTCAGCAAAACTGATTAGAGTAAACATACTCATGTCTGCATTTAAATATTATATCTGTGTGTGTGTGTGTGTGTGTGTGTGTGTGTTATATATATATGAATATTTTGAATTAGCTTTTATTTTTACATTTTACATTTTGACTTTATATTTATATTATATTATTATTACAAAGTGGCAAAAACATGCAAACTAAACATCCAAAAATAGTACACCATTAAGTATAAAATGATTTGGGATGCACTAAACCTGATCTTACTTTGGAAGCAAACTGGAATTTAGCCTAGGTCTGATTGAAAGCGTGGATGGCCGCACAAAAATAAGCAAACCTTGATTGAACTCTCTCACCTCTGGCTGTGAGTGGTCATCAGTGGGGACCTGGCTGGGCAGGTAGAGAGAGGGCAAAGATGTGTTACAGGAGCGCAGGCAGGGCAGTTTGTGTCGGTCGATAGATGCTGAGGAGTGGGGCCTCAGACCAGCAACTGCTGCCAGAGGAGGCTTCATGCTACGGCCCAAACTGTTGCTCTTGCTCTCCCTTCTCTGGTACTCTATGGGTGACTGCAGGGCTGGAACACACACAAAACAAAACTGATAGTCATATTTAATTTGACATAAACAAAAACATTTTGAGGGACAGATGTACAGTTGAAAATTATTTCCTAGTTTATGTTCACAACCAGCGTTTTGTCCACTGGAAATTTGTGAAGTTGAATTTTCAATGTTTTGACATTCAATGCTTGATACTAAGGAACCCAGTTTGACATTGAAGAGACTGTCCTTTTATCCTTCATACCTTTATGTTCATGTCATTTAAATATGGCAGCTACTTTGACTAAAGTTTATATTTCTTTCAATAATGGCTGAGGAAACTTTGAAGGTCTCACCATTTAGGAAATTGCGTTGGGTCTCCAGTATTTGGCTCACGTCGCTGACCCAAGACTTGCAGATGTCCTGCGATGAAGAGTGCAAGACAAAACGCACCGTGCTGCCATCAGCTCCCCGAGACATCAGGGCAAACTGATTCGGGTCACCATCTACACACACCTCCACACCCAGACAACTTATCTGAAAGCAGAAGCAAACATACTGCATAATACAGAAACCTTACATGATAATAACTTCCTGATAATAATGAAGTATATGAAAATAACAAAAGGGGAAACTCACCTTAATACTGTTCTTAAAAATATATCCAGGTAGAGAGAATCCTTTTTTCCTGTCTATTGGCTCACTGAAGATGACAAGCTGTTCAAACAGGAAGACCCGTCTCTCTTTAGCACGGGAAAGAATGCTGCTGTCCTGTTCTGTGACTGAGAACGTGTCTTGTTGGAGAAGTTTTCCTTGTGCCGTGATCTTGCCCTTATAAAAAGAAAAAATGTGGTTTTAGGGCAAGGGTTTTCAAACCCTTTTGGACCCCCAAATATGATGATACCCTTCTGAGGGACTCCCTTTTTAAAATATAAACACAGCTAACTGTGTGTGTGTGTACCTGGTATTCCCTATGTTATGGGGACCAAATGTCCCCACACAAGGATAGTAATACTAGTAATATTTGACCTTGTGGGGACTTCTTTTTTTGTTCCCATGAAGAAAACAGCTTTACGTTTTTTTACGTAAGTTTTTTGAAAATCTAAAATAGCAAAAAGTTTTGTCTGAGGGGTAGGTTTAGGGTAAGGGTATAGAAAATAGTTTGTACAGTATAAAAACCATTACACCTATGGAATGACCCCACAAAACATGGAAACCATTGTGTGTGTGTGTGTGTGTTATTACTATTACATACACATATCATGAAAACAATGCAAGACATCATGTTACTTCAAAAACCTTTTTGTTGGCTTTTGGATGTCACTGTACATAAAAGCCTAAATAAAATATTAAAATATCTGGAAAATATTTGACCTGCATTAGCTGTGTATCTAGTATATGTTTTTTTCTTTACCCAATATTGTTTGTTTTACACTTTTTTTTAGAATAAATATCATTCCAGAGAAGCTTTACAAAAAATCATCCAACCAGTGCACAAGCTAAAAGCAAGGAAAAATTACATATGTGACCCTGGACCACAAAACCAGTCTTAAGTCACTGGGCTATATAGCCAAAAATACATTGTACGGGGTAAAACTTATAGATTTTTCTTTTATGCCAATAATCATTAGGATATTAAGTAAAGATCATGTTCCATGAAGATATTTTGTAAATTTCCTACTGTAAATATATTAAAACATCATTTTTGATTAGTAATATGCATTGAACTTCATTTGGACAACTTTAAAGGCGATTTTCTCAATATTTTGATTTTTTTGCACCCTCAGATTCCAGATTTTCAAATAGTTGTATCTCAGCCAAATATTGTCCTATCCTAACAAACCATACATCAATGGAAAGCTTATTTATTTACTTTCGAAAAATTTACCCTTATGACTGGTTTTGTGGTCCAGGGTCATATATGCAAAAACATATGTAAATATGCTACATTGACATGAAAATGGATTAATGTTTCTGAATAAATGAAAACTGTGATACATTTCTTCAGGAATTTTTTATGAAAAAAGATATATCAATTTTCAGACCCTCTTGCACTCCCTTGCAGACCCATATTTGAAAACCCCTGTTTAGGGGATCAGAGTCTCTCCCAGTATTTCCACAGACCGACAGCTTTAAACCACAGCCTGCGTCTGGCGCCATACCTCAAAGCCTTGCAGCCGACCCACGTTCATCATGTCATTGCAGCGCTTCGGAACAAAACACATCACCTCCACTGCTTTCTGTTACAGAGTGAAAGAAAGACAAGAGAGTAAGATGTAGAAGGACAGAATACAAGAAAGAGCTATGTGTGGAAACTGACCTCAATTTCTTACTAAAGCCTATGAGCAAGTACAGTATTACTGATTTCTGGCTCAAACTGACACCAAAGAAAAGAAAAAACACATGTTGGCATGGTCAATGAATCACACAATGTTCCTTGGTGGGATTATGTGTTTCTGGTCTTGAGAAATAAAACTTAATAATTATGGTGTCTGAGTGACTCATACCTCCAGCTCTTCAATGTCCACCCCAGCCTTTGTGTAGTACTTGAGGAAATCCTGTCGGGAGACACACAGCGTGAGCTCTAGAATGTTCTTTTTTTGTATCAGGGTCTATTTGTACTAATGGCTTTTTGTGTGTGGAAACTAATTAAGTGTATTTTGTGCAGAACGCTGGCAGATACTTGAACATGAGAAGAAATGTACAGTGGGTACGGAAAGTATTCAGACCCCCTTAAATTTTTCACTCTTTGTTATATTGCAGCCATTTGCTAAAATCATTTAAGTAAATTTTTTTTCCTCATTAATGTACACACAGCACCCCATATTGACAAAAAAAACACAGAATTGTTGACATTTTTGCAGATTTATTAAAAAAGAAAAACTGAAATATCACATGGTCCTAAGTATTCAGACCCTTTGCTCAGTATTTAGTAGAAGCACCCTTTTGATCTAATACAGCCATGAGTCTTTTTGGGAAAGACTCTAAAATTACAAAGCAGCTAAGAAAAACCATTGAGACAGTTGGCAACATTTTACTATTATTCTTCCATAAACTTCAGATATGTTGTGAATAGTAACAGGTCTGTGGTGTTACTGTGAAAAAATTTAAAACCAAAGGCATCAGCATACAAAGAATGCAATGTCTTCTTAAGCAGTGATTCCCAACCAGAGCAGAATATATAATGCATACATAATAGTATTATATATCATATAATAATAGTTTGGGGTCAAAAAGATTTTTTTTAAAGATATTAATACTTTTATTTAGCAAGGACACATTAAATTGCTCAAAAGTGACAAAAAAAGACATTTTACAATGTTAAAAAAAGTTATATTTTAAATAAACGCTGTTCTTTGAACTTTCTATTCATCAAAGAATCCTAAAAATAACTAAATGCATCATGGTTTCCACAAAAACATTCAACTGCACAACTGTTTTCAACATTAATAATAATACTAAATATTTCTCAAGCACCAAATCAGCATATTAGAATGATTTCTGAAGGATCATGTGACACTGAAGACTGGAGTAATGGCAGCTGAAAATTCAGCTCTGCCATCACAGGAATAAACTAATATATATTAAAAAGGAAAAGAGTTATTTAAATTGTAGTTTACAGTATTACCGTTTTTAATGCAGGCTTGGTAAGCATAAGAAAGTGCTTTCAAAAATGTCTTATCGATCCCAAACTTTTGAATAGTAGTGTATATAAAACAGAAATCACTGAAAGTACTGTTTACACATTAATTTGATTATATATAATTGGAATATAGGAAAATATTTTGCAAAATTTAAAATGAAATTTGAATTTAAGTGGTCAACATACAAAGTGCGTATGAGGACATTTTTCTTTATTTTTCACTCTTAAAATCAAATACATCTCCATCAATATTTTGATAATAAGTTGATATTGTAGTTTTATTTATGAATGTGGAATTGCTTAGACATGGTCCACAAAACTCCTAACTAAATGAGCCATGAGTGCACAAGAATGTGTGTGATGTGTGTTTGTGTATGTCTGTGCGTTGCGCTTTTGTTTCACCTTCAGAAGCAGCTGGTACTTCATGATCCTCTGCACAGGTTTGATGAGCAGGTCATTCAGCTGCAGCCTGTGACCCAGCTGCTGTTTCAGTTCCTGCACACAAACATTCACCTGATTTGACTGATTCCTTTATGCAGAAAGAGAGAAAGCCAATGTTGTTTATTCTGTTATTTTTCTCCAGTACGAATACTGTGTGCAGTATAAAATGGCGTACCCATATGGTCTATTTCATTAGTGAAAAAATGCAGTATGCAAATAAAGCTTATTGCAATTAATATGTTATACTTTTACCATCTTTTTCTTGACACATCATATGATCTGACTGCCAAAATTAAGACCAAAATTGGGTTTTAAAACAAATTATTTAAAAAAAATGGTAGCTAGGTAACATGTACTGAATTTAACTGCATTTTATATATACGGTACTGTTTCACATACTTAAAAAAACAGTAGCAGTATACAGTACATACTGCAAAGTATGCATTAAGCTTATGTACTGACATGCTGGTATTCCACCCCAAACATAGCCAAACACTCTCCATGATCCATTATCCCATAATGCCCTGCAATCTCAATCTATAAAACCTAAAGTAATGCCAGCTATCAAACCTCGTTTGGCACAGCACTGAGAAGAATCCATTAAGTGTCAAACTTTTCGATCAAGCATCTCCCTGTTTTGTCTGTTCCAAGAATTGATGGGTCAGTCGGGGCCTTCATGCCCCCTGTGTGATTATTACACACACACACAGTGCAAATGGAAAGAGAGCGAGAAAGTCTGCCTTGGGATATGTACATAGATGGGCTTGTGTGACAAAACAGTCCCTCACGCTTAACCTGAGCGTCTTTGAGGACTCCACTAGTGTGTATGCATGTGTTTGTGTAGTTGCACTTCACATGCACTCACCTCAAAGTAGGTCTCGATGTATTCTGACACGATGTGCTCAGACTTAGGTTTGTTCTGGCAATATACCACATACATGTGAAGCCGCCTTTCCTGTGGTTTGTGCAAACAGAGAGGGCAGATAGAATTAGCTCAGCAGAGTAGTTATAGAGTGAAGCATTTAGTTATATTTATATATTTAGTTTAGTTTAGTTATACCAAGTAGCAGTAGTAGCATAAGAAGACTTTGGACATTTAAGCCACATTAAAAATGTGTGAATTTTAATTGTATTATTATTTTATATATTTTTTTATTTTAAGCAAAACAATTCACAAAAAAAGAATTTTGTTCAAATTATAAAACAATAAATAGAAATAGAAACTTCATACAGCCACTAAAAATCACTTTAGTTAGATAAAAATCATTGCAGTTAGATCTGAAAAAAGCTCTATCATCATTTGTTTACAGAAACCATTTAGTTTGAAAATTTGTATCTAATGTAATGACATTCAGATATTTGTAAGTGTGCCTTAAGTGTCCACAAGTTTTTTTGGGGACAATGTTTACTATATATACACCCATTAAAGTACAATCCAATGTCCAGAAATCCTATTAGTAAAGTAAATGTTGACAATGAGAAGAAACAGTAACTGTTATGGAAATACATCAAAGTAGTTTATCTTGTCTAAATTCTTCTTTCCTGATCCCACACGTAAACGCAGCTAGAGAGAGACAGGGAGCAGTGGACATGTATCACGACAGGTGATTCAATGTAAACTTTCAAGCTGCTGTAAGTGTTTAAGTAAGTTTGAAACTGACACTGCCTACATTATAAGAGCAGTGTACTGTGACGCATAGAGAGAGATTACACAACTCTTACGGAGGAGCATGAGCAGAAGGCCATGTATAATTCAGCCCAATTATCCGCAATGTAATCAGAGCCCATTCTCTCTCTCACACACACACACACACACACACACACACACACACACACACACACACACACTGTAGCTACAAAGACAC